GACACAAATTTGTATAATAACATGGGTATGACATAGGTATTACAACGAGAAGGTGATTTATGAGGACATTTTCAGTGTCCCCGTAATTCAAAAGGCTTATAAATAATTCAGAATTCGTTTTTTTGAAAATCTAAAAATGCAGAAAGTTTCCTGTGAGGGGTAGGTTTAGGGGTAGGGTTGGTGTAGGGCAATAGAAAATACGGTTTGTACAGTATAAAAACCATTACGCCTATGGAGAGTCCCCATAAACCATAAAAACAAACCTGAGTGTGTGTATAGCAAAATATAAAGCAGAGCTCTTTCTGGACCTTCACAAAATCTTCCTTTGAGATTCTGAAGGCAACGATCTGAAAACCAAGGTGAGATTTTGACAATGAGACCTACTCAGTAACCTTTACTTAAAAGTATCATTGTCTTTCAAATACATTGAGAATCCACAGTGGTCAGTATATAAACTTTTCATTTTAAATGCTTATTCATTTTCAGATTCATCATGGCATTTATTGGTAAACTCCCTCGTTAATTCATTTTAAAAGATTTTCTGCCAAACCTTTGATGTTTTGTGGCTTTAAGAATAGGAGGAAATGTATGATATTCAAGTAATTAATATTTATTATAATATTTATTATGTTTATTTACTTGAATTTAGTTGAAAAATGGATCCCCTTTGGATGGAAACATTTACAAGTTCTTCCCTCATTCAGTTAACTGGATCACAGCAGAGGTAAAGTGTTCAAAGTAAAACTTCCTTTTTTGCAAGTAAATTTGACAGAAAACGAATACTGAGCAAATAATCAATCAGACCCGACTATGTTTGAAACTGCAGTCACTAGTCAGGTGGCCATTTGACCACTGGATTTACAGAAATCATTTCAGGATTAAGAAGTGTTTCAACATTGCATCAACTGCTGATGAACACATTAATGTTTATTAGAATTATCACTCTGTGGGTTGTTTAACCATGTATTACTTTGTCTTTGGAAGGCTTTTGTCTGTTAAACACATTAAAACGCACAAATTCACTTTATTTCTTATTTACATGTAATGCAGGAATTCACAAACTAGTCACTGTGCATTCGCGAAAATGCAAACGGTAATAAAAGATTTACAATTGCATTTGGGTTATGTCACAATTTATGCATCCACATGTGGAAAATGCAATTCAAAATACAATTTGCAATTCCTTTCGAAAATTGTCCGGAATATCCTTCCATATTCCACACTTCAGCTTTTGAAGTTTTCAATCAAATGGCCTAGACTAGAGCATATTTTCCATTATGTATTTTGTTGAAAATATACTCAAACCATCCTTAAGCCTTAGATTGAATCTTCACAAAATGCTGACAAAAACCTTTAGATCGAGGCCAGAGGCCGTTGGATGCCGGAGCATTTTGCAAATATTTAATAATTATTTAAATAATTAACATTTCTTTAAATGTTGACTTTAACAAATAATATTATCTCCATTATCATTGACTGTTATGGATTGCTGCTAGCATAAATAAACATAAGTGAACATCTTTTCTCAGATCTGTATCTTTGTTGTACATACAGACCACACCACACAGCAGAGCTTTTTCAAGTGTGAGTTAAGTCACAATTAGTTTTGCTCTTACTCTCTTGCCGATGTCATTTCCATCCTCCTCTACCACCTTAAATAACAGTTAGTTTTTGTTGTTATTGTTTTTTTAATTCCAATATTAGTTACCTGTGAACCTTAATGTAAAGTGGACCTAAATAGTTTTATCTAATTTAAGTTTTGTAAAAATCATTAAATTAATAACCGAAAGCATGGTTACTTAACATGATCATATTAATAAGCAATCAATAATTATTTTTGATATCATGACGATCCAAATGTGTTTTACTGCCAGTTTAAAAAACCCAGTCTCACACCCCACACCCACTCTGATCTGCACTTCAAATATACACCTACCCCTCCTGCAACCCCCCTCCCTCCCTCCCTCTCCCACCTAAAATATTGTATAACCAGGCCAGGAACGGACTAACAAAGGAGATCAGAGTGGCTAAAAGAAGCTACTCTGAAAAGCTGAAAAAACAGTTTTCAGCCAGCAGCCCAGAGACAGTCTGGACAGGCCTGAGGAGCATCACAAAGTACAAGAATCAATAACTGACGGACACTTTGAATGTCTTACTACCGATTAGAAAATCCCAGTCTCACACCCCACACCCGCTCTGATCTGCAATTCACACATTCACTTACCCCCCCTGCAACCCCTCTCCCTCCCTCTTCCACCATTCAACCTGTGCTTAAGGTCTGTGTTGACGACGTGAACCAGGTCTTCAGAAAACAGAAGACTAGGAAAGTCTAAAAGTCTGTGCTGACCAACTGGCCCCCATGTTCACACAAACCTTCAACATATCTCTGGAGCAGTGTGAAGTTCCCTGCAGCTTTAAACGCTCCACTATCATTCCAGTCCCCAAAAAACCCCGAAATCACTGGCCTTAACAAACACAGACCTGTCGCTCTCACGTCTGTGGTCATGAAGTCGTTTGAGAGAGACTGGTCTTGGCCTATCTGAAAGACATCACTGGACCCTTACTGGATCCTCTTTAGTTTGCGTACAGAGCAAACAGGTTTGTGGAGGATGCAGTCAACATGACTGCATTATATTCTGCAACATCTCAATAGACCTGGGACTTATTACCCATAATGCACTTCGATTCTCATGAGTGTAATGTCACCTGACAAAAGGCTTTTTTTCCCTCGCCTTTATCTTCTCACAGTTTGGGGACTAACATTTAACTTAATATATTTCAAACACATATTTCAAATATTATTTTCCAATATTTAATTAGGCTAATATTTTATTTTTAGACAGGCTCATCTTACCCCATTCTCCCATATTTGATTTTTATTTTATGTGTACTCAAGTCCACAGATCAAACAACGACATCCTGTGTCATCCTTGTGACTTATACACACTTGACATCAAGTAAAGTATAAAAGCAGGGCTCTTTCTGGAACTTCACAAAATCATCCTCTGAGATTCTGAAGGCAACGATCTGAAAACCAAGGTGAGTTTTTCGCTTACAGACCTACTGAAAAACTTTTCTTCTTAAAGTATTTTTGTCTTTAAAATACATTGAGAATCCAAAGTATGCAGTATTTGAATGCAGACATTTAACTTTAAATGCTTATTGATTTTCAGGTTCATCATGGCGATGCTGAGAAATCTTCTGCTTCTTTTTATTGTGTTCTCCATGGGGAATGCAGAAGGTAAACAAGACATTTATTTGTACAAACCCTTGTTAATCCATTTTAAAAGCTTGTTCTGTCAAACCTTTGATGTTTTGTATCCTTTTGGAGAGGAATAGCAGGAAACGTATGATATTCCACTGACTGATATTTGCATAACATACAATTGATATACAGTTGATGTAGTTGAAAAATGCCCCTATGGATGGACAAATTTTGGAGTCAGATGCTACAAGTTCTTCTCTCAGTCGGCTAACTGGATCACAGCAGAGGTAAAGTGTTAGTTACAACAAGATGATTTTTATTATTTTTAAAGTAAAGATTCCTTTTCTGCAACTAAATTTGACAGAAAATGAATACTGAGTATATAATCAATCAGACCCGACTATGTTGGAAAATGACTAAAAATGTTGTTTAAAAAGTAATTTATGCTTTATGCTAAAAAAAATTAGATTGTGTATTGACAATAAAAAAATCTATCTCTTTAGAGAAACTGCCAAAGTTTTGATGCAAATCTTGCATCTGTGCATAATAAAATTGAACAAGATTTACTCCTGAGTCTGTTGCCTTCTTCCACACGTTGTTGGATTGGTGCTCATGATGGTGAACAAGTAAGTGAAGCTGTGTGGCCTAAAGTTTGTTTGTCTAGACTGAAATCTCTAAAGTTTGTAATGAAGATGGTTTGACTTTTTCAGAGCCAAGCTAAAGTTTCTTTTTATGGAATCTGAGTACAGTAGTGCACTCTTATAATAACTGACTTTGCTCTTTAGGAAGGACAGTGGGTGTGGAGTGATGGAACTCCATATGACTTTACCTACTGGGGCTCTGGAGAACCTAACAATCTGGGTACTGAGAACTGCGGGGAGCTCAGCTTGAGCAGTAAGAATGCAGTCTTTTGTTTTGTTTTGTTTCGAACTATATTTTCATGTCATACAATAACACAATGGCTCATTTGCAAAAATGCCTTAAGTTGAACATACTGTTTTATTTTATTTCTACCACACTATAATGATCAGAATAACTTATTTCATTTCCTATTTCCACGCTACAGCTAACCGTTGGAATGATGTAACCTGTTCAACTTCACTGGGCTATATTTGTGCTAAAGACCTGTGAGATCTACAGTCATCCTGCTCCACAGTTACTTTTATTTGTACTACATTTACATGTTCTGATCTTATAATATATATATATATATATATATATATATATATATATATATATATATATATATATATATTTCCATGTTTTCATAATAAAACAAATAAAATAAGTTCTTCTTTGATGGACCATACTTGCAAGTAATATATATTGCAATTTTTTTTAAATACACCCCTACAAGTCATTATCTTGTAAGAGCCTTTTAACATTGACAATAAATGTAATTAAACAATACTGGATTAAATGTTTAAATTAAATATTTTTTAAAGTTTAAATTGCTAATGAATATGTTTTTTTAACATAAAATACATAAAAGAAGCTTTTATTAACAGAAAATAACATAAAAATGTCCAAACAGGGAATAGTGTCCAAAGGGAAAGAGTGTTCAAAATAAACAGGGGATCTGGTGTCCACGTCGTGCTGCGGGGTTCGTGCGGCTGCATCCTTCTCTTTGCCCTCGGCACTCGAAGGGACTAGACGGCCCGGCATCCTGGCCGACATAACGAGAGTTGTTTTCTCGTTATAACGACTTAATTTTCTCGTTATATCGACATAACGAGAGTTGTTTTCTCGTTATAACGACTTAATTTTCTCGTGATCTCGACATAAAAAAAGTTGTTCTCTAAGTTACAAAACTGCGCCAACAGCTGGCACTATTGACCTGAATATAACTGATGGGGTGTTGTAGGCTATACTGTATCCACTTTACTGTACGCGTTTGGGATAGAATAGGTATCGGGTGGTAAAGGAAGAGGAATCAGTTGCAGGGATAACAAGGATTTATTTGAGATTCAAAACAAACAGGAACGAAGCCACTGTCCGAGAGGGTAATCTGGAGAGATCCCAACCAGGTCCGGGGAAGAGAAAGTCAGCTCAACAGCAGGTATCTAGGAAAAGGGGGTTGCCAGAGCAAATGGCCGCAAGTCACAGTCCACGAGCAACGAGACAGTCCAGCCCTTCAAGTAATTCCAGGGGCCAGAGAATGGCGATGGTGGGCTGGAGAGGGCAGAGGGGAAGGGAAAAAACTAAATGGCTGGAGCTAAAACTAGGAACTAGCAAGAACTGGGCTGGATCAAAAGAAAACCCCTAATATCAAAAGTAAAATAAAAGCTAAGGAAACTAGGCAAGACTAGGCTAGACAAAACAGGATCACAGTCAACAGCGACAAGAGCCAGGTTAACTCAGCAGGGCAGAGATTTCGATCTGGCACAGGACAGAAAACGAGGGGAATATAAGGGTGACTACTGATTTGAAACAGGTGTACCCCTAACGAGATAAGATAAAGAGAGGGGCGGGGTAACAATAGACAATAGAGCACATGGCAACATAATTACCAACTGACAGCCATGTGCTCCAGACAGACCAGGACACAACATAAACAAACCCAGATCAGACCGGCGCCTTGACAATAGGACCTACCTCGTGATCGCTATAATTTGTACAGTATTGTTCATTAGGCTACTGACATTTAAATCATTCATAAATGTTAAATGCTACGAGAAAATTAAGTCGTTATAACGAGAAAACGAGAAGAAAAAATAATAATATTGCATGGCCGCTTAGAACTTCCGTAGATTTGTGAATGGCAGTGAAGCGACGTAATTTATATTGGTAGGTCATGTGACAGTAACAACGTGGGGCATGTAGTATGTATGAATTTCATTCATACTATTGATATACATACTATAAATAACATACTATTTAAACATGCACAACGTAAGTTTCAAAGCAAATACAGTATAATACCTACTAGACAGTATTTATTATTCATCCTTATTTCTGTAGTGTTGTATACAATACAGATTGTGTCAAAGCAGCTTCACATTGAAAAACAGGAAAATAACAGAATCAATCATGGAAACTCAACTATGGAGACGATTCAAATTCTGCTGTAAAACTGCTCTAAAAAGACAATAGTGTCATTATTTAGCTCAAGTCAATTCAGTGTTGATTCAGTTCAGATCAATAAGAAATGTGTTAAGTTTCGTTATAAGCAATTCTCCAAAAGGCAGGAATGTAGTTTGTTATTTAGCTCGAGTCAGTTCAATGTTGATTTAATTCTTAGTATTCTTTCACTTTATTGACATTGACAAATAATATCACAATTCTCAATAATTGTAATAACTAGCTTAAATAAGGTTTTGTTGGTCTTCCTGGTTTTCTCAGAAACACCTTTTCTCAGACCTTTCCTTCTATTATACAAAACTATCACACCTCTGAATATAGTTGTCTTTTTGATAAATTGCTATCTTTCTATTATTATTATTATTATTATTATTATTATTATTATTATTATTATTATTATTATTATTATTATTATTATTATTATTATTATTATGTGTAGTTTTCTGTTCATGGGTGTATTTGGAAATTTAATTTCCACGCAGCAAAGCTTTTTCAGCAATGTGAGTTTACATCACAGTTGAACTATTTGTGTAATTTTTTTAGCTTACTATCTTGCAAAGGTCATTCCCATCCTCCACTACCACCTTTAATAACAGTTTTTTTCATCAGATACTTTATATAATTTTGCATTTCAAATATCAACCTAATGGCAGGGTTGCCAGGTCTGTAAAACAAAACCAGCCCAATTGCTATTCAAAACTATTCAATTTTTTTTCTGCTGTTTTCCCCTCCATCGAAATAACATTCCCGTGATCGCTTTAACCTGTGGTCTTAAATACAAAACACAGCAACACTGTAAAAGTATCCCAAAACACTAGCTACGTTTACATGGACACTTTTTGCTTCCATCAGAATGAATTCATTATTATTGACGAATCTGAACGTTGTGTTTACATGAACACTAAATAAAGTGATCGGGTTGATGTGGCATTTATGTCACAAGCTTCTGATCGGATTTAATCTTTTTTAATCTTTACACACTGCATGAATATGTTGCATACTGTTTTAAAAAGCACACTTGATATTTATCTACCTCAGGTCCTAATTAGGCAACGACCAGAACATGAACTGTTGTGCTGTGCTGCTTACTTTTACTGCTTTATAAAGTGCTCCTTCCTGCACCCAAAACCATTTGTCTGTTGATGAGAGTCTTAAGCAAGGACTGGTGGACATCGTCCTGCTCCACTTCACAAACGCTGAGTGAAAGCAGAATTTTAGAATGATGGGACACTCATTTATGACACTTTATTCAACAGGAAGAACAGCTTGTTCTGTGTGACACACACTATTTTTTACGTCACTGCACATGCGCAGTACTTTCCAGTTTCGGTTTTCAATCCGATCAAGTGTTTACATGTCCTCTCACTTGGATTACAAAAGGAATAAACCTCCCCTTACAATCCGATCGAAATTTTAATCGGATCTGGCCAATTCAATCCAATTGACGTGGTTACATATGACTTTTTTATTCTGACTGTGCTTCTAGTCCTATTACAATGGGATTATTAGGGCCCATACTGACTAATGGACAAAATACATTATTCTTTGGCAACATTTTGGGGGACCTGGTTTCAAATGCAGACATGATTTTTCAATGGTTTGTTAATGTAACCATAAAGGGATAGTTCTCTAAATAAATAAATAAATAAATACAATTCAGGCATTATACTCTTCAGCGGTATGACTTTTCTTTTTTTTCTTTTCTTTCTTTCTAATTTCATTATTGTGGTGTTTCTAATTAAGTGATAAAGCAGTTGCAAACGTTTTACAAAATACATATCTCTGCAATCTGGACCAATAAAATGTGCAACAAATAGTACGACAAAGATATCGCTTTCCTCAGCTGACATTGAAACTATTATTTTATTCTGAATATGAAATTGAGCTGAAGAATGAATGCTGTATCAGATGCAGGTAATCACACTCACTCAGTCCATCGCTCTCTCATAATACTCTACATAATACAATAAGCTTTTAACTTCAGTGAAGCAAATCTGTATTTCTTTATTACTAGTTCCTCCTTTGTTACTATATACACATATAACACTACAGTGATATTTAACACATCTGTAATTTGCTGCAGAAAGGAGCTTTTGAAGTTATTCATGGTTTGTTGGAAGTAATTTTTTAATGCTTTTACACTTTAAAATTTGCTTCTAATGTTTGCTGCTTGAAGGGTGAGTAGAATAATGCAGTGCTGGGTAGATTACTTACAAATAGTAGTTCATTACTGATTACAGATTACATGTTGAAAATTGTAGTTAGTAACATAATCTGTGTTATTCATTTTAGGGAATGTATTCTGACTACTTTTTAGATTACTTTTTAAACTTACCATTAAATGTACCCTTTTGATATAAAAAAACAAAGAGAAAGAAAATATATTCCATTCTTTGATATCAACATCATAAAATTCATTAAACATTATATTACACCAGGGTTTGCTAAACTGGGGTTAATGTAAGAACTGCAGTGTGTTTGTGAGTTGATTAAAAAAAAACATAATTAATTGAAATAATTGTAAAATTAAACAATCAAAATTAAACACCTGAACGCTAATGTTATGGAGTAACCAGAACATGAGACGTGCGGATCCATGTGCAAAGCTTTTATTAAGACGTGGTCATAAACAGGCATAGGTCAGACATAGGAAAACTGGTATGTAGAAGACAAGGCAAGGGTAGTCTGGTAAACAAGCGAGGGTCAGTCGACGACGAACGTAATCCAACAGGGCAAGACGAGAGAGGTAATCCAAAGTACACAGGCAATGATCAGAAGACGAGGAAACAGACAAGACAAGGCTAGACTAGACTAGACTAGACTAGACTAGACTAGACTAGACTAGACTAGACTAGACTAGACTAGACTAGACTACTTAAAGCAGGCTCCGCAACGTAGCTATCACAACTAGCGATATGCGCATACAATACTCGGCAGCCTGAAAGGGATCTGAGTGAGTGTTATATAATGAATGTGTGATTGGTTACAGCTGTGTGCAATCAGTGCAATGGATGATGGGATATGTAGTCCGGGATGACATGCAACAGTTTGTGTAGTGCGAGAGTCAGTGTAATGGAAGGGTGACTTCTGGTGGTGATTGAACGGAAGTCCATGGACAGGATTCGTGATAGCTAACAACAGGATTGAAAATTAATTACATGACATTTGCATGTTACATGGCCATTCTATATTGTGAATATAGTTAAAACTAATGGTATGACACACAGGACTTTTAGAAATTAATCTTTAAAAGAGAAAAAACGAAGAATTAGGGAGAATCGATATATTATGAATAATTTATTGCCATTGTGTGAATATGTAATCATGTAATCCATTTAAAAAGTAACTGTAATCTGATTATGAGCATTTTAAATTGTAATATAATCTAATTACGAGTAGGCCTACTCAATTTTTGGAACCTGATTATGTAATCCAGATTAAATGTAATCAGTTTCTATCCAGCACTGGAATAATATCACCTCATCGCCCCTTTTTTTGAAAATACTTCATAGAATTCATAGAGTGAAACTTTTGGTGTGTGTGTGTGTGTTTTACAAAGGACTGTATATGTCCAAACACGATCGCTTGGTTGATTTGATTGTAAAGGACTTGAAAACAATACATAAAGACGGTAAATTTTACCAGCATACTACTGTTGAATTGAACTGGTTTTATGACAACACATTTGACAGTGACTATTTTAAAAACATTCCAAACAATCCGGACATTGTGATTCTAAACAAGGCTTTGAACTCTGTATTTGTCATTGAGGTTGGCTGTTGTTTTGATCTGTATTTTGATACCTGCTATCTTTCCAAACTGCTGAAATATCAGCCATTGGTTGAAGCCATCCATCAACTTGACTATCATTGTAAGTTAATTACCCTAGTATTTGGAAATTTAGGTCATGTGCACAAGAATGTGATTTCAGGTTGAGTGGATTGCAAAAAAAGAAAGCAAAAAAACTCGCAAAATTTTGTTCAGTTTCAGCCACTATAGGGAGTATGCAAATATGGAAACGAAGATGTTTTGTCTATCCTTGAGTGTTGAATGTTATAAATATAAGGACTTGTGAATGTATGTTAGCCATATGTACCTGTCATCTTGCAAACTGACCTCCCAAGGTATTTGGATTCCGTTTTTGTTGCTTGTCTTGTGGATCCAAATAAAAGAATAAAATGTGTGCGTGTGTGTGTGTGTGTGTGTGTGTGTGTGTGTGTGTGAATTGCATTTATTTGTTTCTCAACATCACTCTTGCAGATAATTTTGTTAAGTGAATATAAGTGTAACTTGAGATGTGAAAACATATATTTAGGTAGGCCTATCTATTGGCTTTATATATATATATATAAAGAACATCATACCAACAGTAAAATATGGTGGTGGTAGTGTGATGGTCTGGGGCTGTTTTGCTGCTTCAGGACCTGGAAGACTTGCTGTGATAAATGGAACCATGAATTCTGCTGTTTACCAAAAAATCCTGAAGGAGAATGTCCGGCCATCTGTTCGTGACCTCAAGCTGAAGCGAACTTGGGTTCTGCAGCAGGACAATGATCCAAAACACACCAACAAGTCCAACTCTGAATGGCTGAAGAAAATCAAAATGAAGACTTTGGAGTGGTCTAGTCAAAGTCCTGACCTGAGCCCTATTGAGATGCTGTGGCATGACCTTAAAAAGGCGGTTCATGCTCAAAAACCCTCCAATGTGGCTGAATTAAAACAATTCTGCATAGATGAGTGGACCAAAATTCCTCCACAGCGCTGTAATAGACTCATTGCAAGTTATCACAAACGCTTGATTGCAGTTGTTGCTGCTAAGGGTGGCCCAGACAGTTATTAGGTTTAGGGGGCAAACACTTTTTCACACAGGGCCATGTAGTTTTGGATTTTGTTTTCCCTTAATAATAAAAACCTTCATTTAAAAACTGCATCTTGTGTTATCTTTTACTAATATTTTAATTTGTTTGATGATCTGAAACATTAAAGTGTGACAAACATGCAAAAAAATAAGAAATCAGGAAGGGGGCCAACACTTTTTCACACCACTGTATAAATATAGCCTGTGGGAGTGTGTGGAAAAACTGTGGAAAAATTATGTCTTTATAAAATAAATCTGTTTTGTATAATGTATTCAGTAGACTAAATGGAAAGACATATTAACATTATTTTAAAAAAATATTACATGTCAGTCAAATGGCCTGTTGGGAGTTATTCTCTATATCAGTAAGTGCTGTTTCTGATCTCCCAAAAATGTCTTGATTGGAGTTTTCTTCCAGGAACGTACATGTCACAATGTCTCTTATTTAAATAATTAACGCATATGCAAAAAGGCCTGATTGAGTTGCATTAGTGGTTAGTAGTGTGTTCTTGTTCTTAGCCATGTTCAAGACACATTGTCGTTCTTTCTTCCTACATGAAACCATTAGAACAGAAAGCACTGGATGTTTCTGAAAAGTTTATATATAAAAAAGGACTATAATTCCTAATTAATTTCTTCCCCATGTCCTTAAAATGAACGTACAATAAATATTTAGTTAACCTAATATTGTATTTCTAGACAGTCTCATCTTACCCCAATTTCCTGTATTTGAATTTATTTTACATTTACATAAGTCCACAGATCAAACAATCACATCCTGTATGATCCTTGTGACTTATACACACTTGCAAAAGAAAAAAATATAGCAAAATATAAAGCAGAGCTCTTTCTGGACCTTCACAAAATCTTCCTTTGAGATTCTGAAGGCAACGATCTGAAAACCAAGGTGAGATTTTGACAATGAGACCTACTCAGTAACCTTTACTTAAAAGTATCATTGTCTTTCAAATACATTGAGAATCCACAGTGGTCAGTATATAAACTTTTCATTTTAAATGCTTATTCATTTTCAGATTCATCATGGCATTTATTGGTAAACTCCCTCGTTAATTCATTTTAAAAGATTTTCTGCCAAACCTTTGATGTTTTGTGGCTTTAAGAATAGGAGGAAATGTATGATATTCAAGTAATTAATATTTATTATAATATTTATTATGTTTATTTACTTGAATTTAGTTGAAAAATGGATCCCCTTTGGATGGAAACATTTACAAGTTCTTCCCTCATTCAGTTAACTGGATCACAGCAGAGGTAAAGTGTTCAAAGTAAAACTTCCTTTTTTGCAAGTAAATTTGACAGAAAACGAATACTGAGCAAATAATCAATCAGACCCGACTATGTTTGAAACTGCAGTCACTAGTCAGGTGGCCATTTGACCACTGGATTTACAGAAATCATTTCAGGATTAAGAAGTGTTTCAACATTGCATCAACTGCTGATGAACACATTAATGTTTATTAGAATTATCACTCTGTGGGTTGTTTAACCATGTATTACTTTGTCTTTGGAAGGCTTTTGTCTGTTAAACACATTAAAACGCACAAATTCACTTTATTTCTTATTTACATGTAATGCAGGAATTCACAAACTAGTCACTGTGCATTCGCGAAAATGCAAACGGTAATAAAAGATTTACAATTGCATTTGGGTTATGTCACAATTTATGCATCCACATGTGGAAAATGCAATTCAAAATACAATTTGCAATTCCTTTCGAAAATTGTCCGGAATATCCTTCCATATTCCACACTTCAGCTTTTGAAGTTTTCAATCAAATGGCCTAGACTAGAGCATATTTTCCATTATGTATTTTGTTGAAAATATACTCAAACCATCCTAAAGTCTTAGATTGAATCTTCACAAAATGCTGACAAAAACCTTTAGATCGAGGCCAGAGGCCGTTGGATGCCGGAGCATTTTGCAAATATTTAATAATTATTTAAATAATTAACATTTCTTTAAATGTTGACTTTAACAAATAATATTATCTCCATTATCATTGACTGTTATGGATTGCTGCTAGCATAAATAAACATAAGTGAACATCTTTTCTCAGATCTGTATCTTTGTTGTACAAACAGACCACACCACACAGCAGAGCTTTTTCAAGTGTGAGTTAAGTCACAATTAGTTTTGCTCTTACTCTCTTGCCGATGTCATTTCCATCCTCCTCTACCACCTTAAATAACAGTTAGTTTTTGTTGTTATTGTTTTTTTAATTCCAATATTAGTTACCTGTGAACCTTAATGTTAAGTGGACCTAAATAGTTTTATCTAATTTAAATTTGGTAAAAATCATTAAATTAATGACCGAAAGCATGGTTACTTAACATGATCATATTAATAAGCAATCAATAATTATTTTTGATATCATGACGATCCAAATGTGTTTTACTGCCGGTTTAAAAAACCCAGTCTCACACCCCACACCCACTCTGATCTGCACTTCAAATATACACCTACCCCTCCTGCAACCCCCCTCCCTCCCTCCCTCTCCCACCATTCAACAGTGCGCTTAAGGTCTGTGTAGAGGATGTGAAGCAGGTCTTCAGAAAACAGAAGAAAGCTTCAGGCCCAGATGGTGTTTCACCTGCCTGTTTAAAAGCCTGTGCTGACCAACTGGCCCCCATCTTCACACAGATCTTCAACAGATCGCTGGAGTAGTGTGAACTACTCTGCAGCTTCAAACGCTCCACTATCATTCCAGTCCCCAAAAAACCCCGAAATCACTGGCCTTAACAAACACAGACCTGTCGCTCTCACGTCTGTGGTCATGAAGTCGTTTGAGAGAGACTGGTCTTGGCCTATCTGAAAGACATCACTGGACCCTTACTGGATCCTCTTTAGTTTGCGTACAGAGCAAACAGGTTTGTGGAGGATGCAGTCAACATGACTGCATTATATTCTGCAACATCTCAATAGACCTGGGACTTATTACCCATAATGCACTTCGATTCTCATGAGTGTAATGTCACCTGACAAAAGGCTTTTTTTTCCTCGCCTTTATCTTCTCACAGTTTGGGGACTAACATTTAACTTAAGATATTTCAAACACATATTTCAAATATTATTTTCCAATATTTAATTAGGCTAATGTTGTATTTTTAGACAGGCTCGTCTCACCCCATTCTCCCATATTTGATTTTTATTTTATGTGTACTCAAGTCCACAGATCAAACAACGACATCCTGTGTCATCCTTGTGACTTATACACACTTGACATCAAGTAAAGTATAAAAGCAGGGCTCTTTCTGGAACTTCACAAAATCATCCTCTGAGATTCTGAAGGCAACGATCTGAAAACCAAGGTGAGTTTTTGGCTTACAGACCTACTGAAAAACTTTTCTTCTTAAAGTATTTTTGTCTTTAAAATACATTGAGAATCCAAAGTATGCAGTATTTGAATGCAGACATTTAACTTTAAATGCTTATTGATTTTCAGGTTCATCATGGCGATGCTGAGAAATCTTCTGCTTCTTTTTATTGTGTTCTCCATGGGGAATGCAGAAGGTAAACAAGACATTTATTTGTACAAACCCTTGTTAATCCATTTTAAAAGCTTGTTCTGTCAAACCTTTGATGTTTTGTATCCTTTTGGAGAGGAATAGCAGGAAACGTATGATATTCCACTGACTGATATTTGCATAACATACAATTGATATACAGTTGATGTAGTTGAAAAATGCCCCTATGGATGGACAAATTTTGGAGTCAGATGCTACAAGTTCTTCTCTCAGTCGGCTAACTGGATCACAGCAGAGGTAAAGTGTTAGTTACAACAAGATGATTTTTATTATTTTTAAAGTAAAGATTCCTTTTCTGCAACTAAATTTGACAGAAAATGAATACTGAGTATATAATCAATCAGATCCGACTATGTTGGAAAATGACTAAAAATGTTGTTTAAAAAGTAATTTATGCTTTATGCTAAAAAAAATTTGATTGTGTATTGACAATAAAAAAATCTATCTCTTTAGAGAAACTGCCAAAGTTTTGATGCAAATCTTGCATCTGTGCATAATAAAATTGAACAAGATTTACTCCTGAGTCTGTTGCCTTCTTCTTCCACACGTTGTTGGATTGGTGCTCATGATGGGGAACAAGTAAGTGAAGCTGTGTGGCCTAAAGTTTGTTTGTCTAGACTGAAATCTCTAAAGTTTGTAATGAAGATGGTTTGACTTTTTCAGAGCCAAGCTAAAGTTTCTTTTTATGGAATCTGAGTACAGTAGTGCACTCTTATAATAACTGACTTTGCTCTTTAGGAAGGACAGTGGGTGTGGAGTGATGGAACTCCATATGACTTTACCTACTGGGGCTCTGGAGAACCTAACAATCTGGGTACTGAGAACTGCGGGGAGCTCAACTGGAGCTGTAAGAATGCAGTCTTTTGTTTTGTTTTGAAATATATTTTCATGTCATACAATAACACAATGGCTCATTTGCAAAAATGCCTTAAGTTGAACATACTGTTTTATTTTATTTCTACCACACTATAATGATCAGAATAACTTATTTCATTTCCTATTTCCACCCTACAGCTAACCGTTGGAATGATTCACCCTGTTCAACTTCACTGGGCTATATTTGTGCTAAAGACCTGTGAGATCTACAGTCATCCTGCTCCACAGTTACTTTTATTTGTACTACATTTACATGTTCTGAACTTATATTTTATTTTATCTGTTATTATCTTCAAATTGGTCTTCAAATCAATAAATAAGCATTGAAAAAATCTTGTGCGTTGTGGAGCAAAATCATGTACAACATTGTGTAGCGAGATTTAAGAATATGGTTATTAGAATGCATTATAGGTTTCAAAAGGGTGTCTCTTATGCAGTATACCCTTAGGGGGGGAAAGATTCATATGCATATTTATATATATATATTTCCATGTTTTCATAATGAAACAAATAAAATAAGTTCTTCTTTGATGGACCATACTTGCAAGTAATATATTGCAATTTTTTTTAAATACACCCCTACATGTCATTATCTTGTAAGAGCTTATTAACATTGACAATAAATTGAATTAAACAATTAAACAATTTGACATTAAACATTGAATACTGAATTAAACTAGTGATGGCCGAAGGACGGCGATTAAGGGACGGGGTGATTATAAAAATTAGGGGGGAGGCAGCCGACTCGTCACAACACTGACAGATTTTGATTACTGATAATCAGCCTTTATCCACAATGGTAATATAAACTTTGTTTGTACAGAAGCAATGTAAATACATTTATATTGACTTAAACAGTTTGATTAAGAGAGTAAATATTTTCACAATGCATTCTACATTGACACCTGTCAACCCAACCTTCTTTAGTGTCAGTCTAACTAAAAAAAAGATCTGTTTATTTTAATAATTGATTAAGTAATACTTGAACCAAATTTTTAAACAGACACTGTTCACTGGATTTTCTATAAAGTTCATTGATCATTGCTAAATTCAGAATCACATTTTAGATCAGAATATATTTTGCAGCGGATTTGACTAATCAAATCTGTCAAATGTCCTGTCAAATCGTATAAATCTGAAAGCCCATAAGGCCTTACATCATTAAATATGACTACACTTACTAACCAGTTGTAAAGTTTTATTATTGTAAATGAGTGATTATGGTAGAAAATGTGTAGTAGAGTAATATACATTCCAGTGACAAAATTACAAGACAGGAATTACAAGTATTTCATGTGAATCCCTTTAACAATTTCCAGTTTAGAGGTGATTAAAATAAATGAAAACGTAAAAGACATAGAATTGTTCTTTTAGCAGATTTGTTTGAGGTTCACAGTATCTAAACATCGTTGTTGTTGTTGTCGTCATCATCATCATCATCATTAACCAGTACAATACACTGTTCGCCTGACAGTCTGCCATAATTTTCCATTAAATCACATTATATTTGCCTCAAATTATTGTTAATGTACATAATGACTTCATCCTAGGCTGGAAGATTGTGCATTGTGCATTTTATCAACCAAACGTTTGTATTTCTGTGGCTCTAATAAAGTCTGTGCTTCATATAGAATGCTGTACTGTATCATTATAGGCTAGAAGATTGTGTATCACTGCATTTTATAAAAATTCTAATCTAACAGCTTGCTAGAATTGTCTTCACCCTTCATCTTGCTTATGGGGTAAATTAGTTTAAAGGACCCCCGGTTGCCCTTCCATTTGGCTGGCCTTTAAATGAATCCACCCCATCAGCAAACTATCACGAGACTAGAAGTCCCCCTTACTATACATGCTTCTTTTTGGTCTTCATTCTACATTTTAAAAACATTGTTTGATTTCTACCATTTTTATATGTTTGAAAGAAAAAGGGGTAATATGTTTCAAGAATAACCAGCCTTTCTTTGTGATTAATAAATTGTTATTTGTAGTTTGCCTCTCTTTTGTGTGGTATTTAAATTGTGAATAAGGTATTTTTACATTAATTTTTTTATTGGGTGTGCATCATCATTAACACAATGATCTGTGTTTGTAAAATATAAGCTCATTAATCCTCCCTAACATATTTATAAACCTTACTCTTGACCATGTTTTTGTTTAAGCAGAAAGAGAAAATAAACCTTTTCTGCAAAGGATAATATACGATTTTGTTTGTATTTAATCATAATGAACAATGATATTTTTTATTATTCCTACATTTTCTGGCTATGTTACAGTATTTATTTTCCCATTGTCAGTTCTGTCTTATGTTATCATACAAACCCATCCCAATTATTTTGTCAGGAATTATCAACAATCCAAGCCATAACCCATTACAGGCCACAAATCAGTTTGCTTTGCTTATCAGTGTTACATTTATAAAGGAGAAATATTGCAGATTTACTCCAAAGTAAATGACCTGCAATAGTGCAAATACAATAGAAAAAATATACAAATAAAATAAACAATTTAGGCTATAATAGCTTATACAGAAATTAAGTAAAGTAATCAAATACAAAAATAAAACACTGCATAGATTTCACCATATAAATTAAATATAATTTGATTCATAACAAAGTTATGAAAGATATTGAGTGAAGAGCAGTGAATTATTCTCTCATTTTATTTTGTTGTTTGATTAACATTAATGACACAGATAGCAGCAGGTTTATAAGATGCTGTCATAGAATGTCCAGATCTAATATACTGATTAGCATTCGATTACTTATCCAACATTTTCCAATGTTCACTTAAGACATAGCTAACTGACTGTGTTTAAGTGAAAACTCACAAAGATGGACATTTTGGCATATTTTTGGGCATTATTATTCTTATGCTATATACTATGTAGATACAAAAAGACATATTTTGCAATTCTAATGCAATTCATAGATTAAAAAAAAAAAGTTTTATTAAAATACACCCTATATGTCATTATCATAGCTTATTGAGAATGCAGTATAATAAAATATACTTTGAGTGTTGATTCATTTGTAATTAATTACTGATCATCAGCCTTTATCCACAATGGTAATAATCGTCACACAATAAACACTGTTTACATAGAAGCAATTTAATTTAAAGAAATGTATTTTGACTTAAAACGTTTGATAAAGAGAGTCAATGTTTTCACAGTGCATTCCAAATTAAGTTATCAACACACCTCTCAACAGCTCCTTAAGTATAAATTAAACTACATAAAGAGGATCGGATGAGGATTGGAGGGCACTGAAGCCAGTGAACATCAGAAAAGCAGCTGGCCCTGATGGTATTTCTGGCCACTTTCTGAGATCCTGCACTGAGCAGCTTGCAGGTTTTTAATCATACATTTTTAATCCTCATGTTGTGTTCCGGTCATTTTGACACACAGAGGGTATTCTTTTCACCGAAAATGCTTGTTATCGCACTGGACTAAAACATTGATTTCCGGTGTCTTTTATACAGGTAACAAGTTCAAACAGGTGCAATTAATACAGGTAATGAGTGGAGGATAGGAGGGCTTCTTAAAGACAAACTAACAGGTCTGTGAGAGCTAGAATTCTTGCTGGTTGGTAGGTGATCAAATACTTATTTCATGCAATAAAATGGAAATTAATTATTTAAAAATCATACAATGTGATTTTCTGGATTTTTTTTTTGATTCTTTCTCTCACAGTTGAGGTGTACCTACGATGAAAATTACAGATCTCTCCATTCTTTGTAAGTGGGAAAACTTGAAAAATCAGCAGTGTATCAAATACTTATTTGCCCCACTGTATATATATGTGTGTGTGTGTGTGTGTGTGTGTGTATTGTATTATATGTTATTATCATATATAGGTTTAGTTTTTTTAACAACCCGTTCTCTTTTAAGTAGCACAGATTTTGTATTTCTTTTTGGAACTGATTAATCATAGGCTTCACTGATCTGAGATTATGCACCTCAATTTTTGAATGAACATTGCCAAACTTATTCAAGAATAAGTTTCACCTGAAAAGTTTCTGTACAGGGGCCATAGAAAGCATACTTACTCAGCGTATCTCAGTGTGGCATGGGAACTGCTCTATCCAGGACTGCAAAGCCCTGCAGAGAGTGGTGTGCTTAGCTGAGCACATCTCAAGGACTGCTCTCCCTTCTCTGCATGACATCTACCTCAGATGATGCAGAGCTGCTAAAATCATCAAGGATTCTAACCACCCAGGTCACTGTCTGTTCTGCCGATGTGTGTCAAATCGTATAGATATGAAAGCCCATGAGGTCTTACATGGTTAAATAGGAACACACTTTCCTAACCAGTTGTAAACTTTATTGTCTTGTGTGATTGATTACAGTAGAAAATGTACAGGAGAGCAATATATAATGCCTTGACAAAATTACACCACAGTGTTTCATTTGAATCCCTTAATCAATTTCCAGTTTAGAGGTGATTAAAATAAATGATTTTCACCTATATAAATAAGAGACATTTTGACGTGTGTAAATTCAATTTAACATTAAGAACACTGTAGTTTATCCACTGATGTACAAAATGTACAAAACAATTTAGCTGTAAAAGACAAGTTCTTTCAGCAGATTTGTTTGAAGTTCACAGTATATGAATCATTCATCATCGTCGTCATCGTCATCATCATCATCATCATCACCATGGTGGTCTTCGTCGTCGTCTTCATCATCGTCATCGTCATCGTCGTCATCATCATCGTCATCATCCTCTGTATTGACTGTTCCAGAGAGCACATCTTCTATCCAGTTTTCCAGCTCTTCGGGTGACGGCAACTCATCATCATCAGATATCTCCAACCAGACACTGTCCGCCTGTCATAGAGGACATGACAGTGGAACAGATCCAAGCATGAGAAAGAGGGCTTTCATAATGAATTCAGCAGATTGGGATAAAAATTAAAGTAATGCGCTTACATCTGTAACATTAACTACACCAATCTGTGGTCTGAAGAGGTCAACCTTGAAAGTCTTCTCCCAGTAAGGAATGAGCTAAGAAAGGAAACGTGAATATTAAGAGTGGTTCAAAAGAAAGAAAAAAAATTTTTTTTTCAATTTTTGTCATCCATTTCACATTACAGCTTTACTGACTCAATATATTGTCATGCATCTATCCAGACTTATTTTAGTCACCAGTGGGAAGTTGTCTGGGTCGATCCACACAATACTCAAGTCTGGATTGTGTGTGTTGTCTCTGGCCACCTCCTTCAAAATCTCCAAGAATTCAAAACCATCTGAAAACCATATTTAAGGTCAAGTCCTTTTGATGATGCTCACACTAAATGAATATAATTTGGCTTTATAAGGAATGAAGAG